CTCAAAGCATCTTAAGATCCTTTTCACCGCAACGATTTCTTCCCAATCAGCTTCACAAAAGATAATAGTATCATCAGCGAATTGCAAGTGTGATAGTTTTAACTCATTTGTTCCTATTGTGACTCCTCTGATCAATCCCTCTTCTTTGGCTCTTTCCATAAGTATATTGAGGCCCTCAGCTACCATGTTAAAAAGGAAAGGTGAAAGTGGGTCACCTTGCCTAAGGCCTTTCATGGGGGAGAATTCTGTAGTAGGTGAACCATTAACTAGTACTGAAATTCTAGCTGTAGATATACACGTCTTTATCCAACCCACCCATTTCTCACCAAAACCAAAATTGTCCATCATTGAATACAGAAACTCCCAATTTACTGAGTCATACGCCTTTTCAAAGTCCAATTTTAGTATGAGTCCTTTCTTTTTTGACCTTTTCCACCAATCCACCACCTCATTGGCAATTAGGACTCCATCTAGAATATATCTTCCACTCAGAAATGTCGTTTGTACTTCACTAATGATCTTGGGTAGGACCTGCCTCAACCTTTTTGATAAGACTTTGGCAATTATTTTATACATGGAGCTAACCAAACTGATTGGCCTATAGTCACATAGACCCACTGGATTTTCCTTCTTAGGAATCAAGGTAATAAATGAACTATTCACTCCTTTGGCCAACTTACCATAGGAGTGGAACTCATTCATCATCTGTACAATCTCCCCTTTCATGATGCCCCAGCATTTTTGGATACACTTTAGATTAAAGCCATCCGGCCCCGGGGCTTTATTACCATCACAGTCGATGATTGCTGCCCAAATTTCAGCTTCTACAAAATCTGCCTCCAATAATTCAGTTGACTCTGTCTGACTAATTGAGGCAAAAACACCTGACAGCTTTGGTCTACACCTCCATCCTTCAGTGAACAGCTGGGTATAATGGCTAACCACAGCCTGTTTAATCATCCCAGGCTGATCATGCAGTACTCCATGCTCATTAACTGAGTTCAATAAGTTTTTCCTTTGCCTTTTACTTGCCATTATATGAAACAATCTGGTATTTTTATCCCCATTTTGAGCCCACACCATTCTAGATTTTTGATGCCACAACCATTCCTTTTTCTTGCTCAAATCCCAGGCTAAACTTCTAACTTCTGCCCTTCTTTTAATTTCAGAATCATGGAGAATCCTTTCTTCAGCTTTTAAATCCCATTCATGAATTTCGTCCTCTGCTTGTTTCAGCTGTTCATCAAGGTTACCAAACACCTCGTAGTTCCACCTTCTTAGTACTACTCGCAGATTTCCTAGCTTTTTCAGTAGCTTATAACTGGCCCACCCACTTACCTGTGTTTCTTCCCAACAATTCTTTACTGCTTCTTTGAATTTAGGATGCAAACACCATGCATTTATGAATCTAAAAGGTTTTGGACCCCAATCCCGCTCGTCCTCCATGAGGAGTATTGGACAATGGTCAGAAATGGTTCGAGGTAGCCCCCACTGTTTCAGTTTTAATTTTTCCAACCACGTAGGATCTAGAAGGAATCTGTCAATCCTACTCCATCTATCTCCATCCATCGCATTACACCAAGTGAAATTTCTGCCTAGCATTGGCATATCTAATAGCTCTAGCTGTTCAAGCAATTCATTAAAGTCCTTCATCCCTCTTTCCCTTCTAGAGCATCCTTTTCTTTCACTCATGAATCTTATTTCGTTAAAATCTCCACCTATACACCAGGGACTTGGGAAAGCTAATTTAAGTTGGGCTAAAGCATTCCATAACTGTCTTCTTTTCAACACATCATTGGGTGCATAAATATTAATAATCACACAACTAAAATTATGACAACCCATACCTGATAAAAGTAAGAAATTTCTGTTGCTGCAACACTCCTTTAGTTCAAAAATTTGCGGGTTCCACAAGCATAGCAGTCCACCAGCACTGCCTTCAGCCCCCACCTCCATGCTCTTTAGCTCCTCCCATGGCCATAATGACTTAAGGAACTTGTCATCTACTTTACTCCTCTTTGTCTCCTGCAGCAGCAATACATCAACCTTCCTCTCCCTAACTAATTTTTTAATTTTTCTTCTCTTTTCAGGTCGTCGCAGACCCCTAACATTCCATGATAGAATAATCATAAAAACTGTTCACAGATCCCAAATCCCCTCACCTCTTCCTGACCTGGCCTAGGGAATACTTCCCTCCCCATCGATTTTCTCCAGGTCCTTCTCTTCAAGTTCAATTAATTTGCTAATCACCTCCTGCTCTTTACCTTCACAATTCAAGCCTAGTATTTTGCCGACTTCCATAGTAGCTTGGGCTTCACTTAGGAACTTATGCCTTCTCCTTGAGTTAAGACTCTGCTCAACTGACAATGATATTGCAGCTGCTGCTGCTCTAAAAATAGCTCCTTTGCGAAAACAGGTGCTGGTCAGTGCTCCCTTGTTCTTGGTCTGCTTCGTCAGGTCAGCTCCTTTCTTCTTTCTACTGCTCATTTCTGGTTTTGTACTCTGCCCCTTCCTTGATGTTGTTCCTATTTCTATCGCTTTTCCTGCGGCTGGAAGCAGATCATGACGCCTAAAATGAGTTTGGGCTATACAATCACTTAGATTTGAGGGTTCTGTTATGGGCCCATCTGCCAATACCCCAGCCTGAGGAACTTTCAAAATTACCTCTAAGTTTACCTTGGGCCTTGGACTCTCAGGCCCACTAGTGCTTGGGATTTTCTCAGGGTTGCATATAGGCCCATCAACAATTTGAATTTCATTTCTTGGAATTACCACATGCACCTGGTTAGCCTCCCTACCTACCTCGCTGACATTCAGAGTCCCCATGGCACCCCCAGTTTCTTTTACGGCTGATGCAGAGAGCCACTCATTACTCTTCTCTTTTGCCCCTGAAACTCTCCCCACCATGTCCTCTCCACCATTTTTTGACAGCTGATCTACTTCCTCTTGACCCATAGATTCAGTGCCCACATTGTCGAAGCAAAAGCTGTTGCAATGGCATGGTTGTACTGCTGCTGGGAGTTCTTCACACACTCTAACTGGGAAAATATTTCCATTACATTCAACATTGATCACCTCATTTATGAACTCCAGTCGATTGGTGATTATTCTTACCTTCCCACTCTGAAACGAACTCTGACTGAGAATATCTTCACCTATCTGAACAACCTCACCCCACACCTTGCCTATGTCACTGAATGTAGTAACATTCCACAAGTTGAATGGAACACCTACACATGTTATCCACACACATCTTTCTTGTGCAATGTAATTTCCTTTCTCCCAATCTGTAACAAAATCGCACCAGTGGACCATCCACTCGTCAATCTTTTGCCTTTCCTCCTTTTTATGTTGTTGTGATTAGAAGGTTAGCACAGCTAGCCTTCCTCCCCCAGCTCTAACTGTTACATCCTTTACACCTCTTCTATCAACCTCCTCCTTAAACTCATTGAATGATAGAATAGATTTGAGTTTGACTATTATACTGTCATAAAGCCACCCATTTCCAGTTTCATATGCTTTGACAGTACGTTTTGCCTTTCCAGCACTACCTCCATTCTGTACTACTTCTGCAAAGGATCTTCTGCCTACACTTTCCAGCCCTTTTTGCACGAGACCCCTCTGTTGACGCTGCATCATCCGATCATTACCTCTGGTTACCATTACAGGTCTCTTGATCTCACCTTTTTTGAACTCTGCCTTCTTCACTTTCAGTGCCTTGTTGTCACACCACAGGCCATCCGTCTTCAGCACCGCCATTTCAGCAGCAACATTGCAATCGTATCTCACAAAACCAAACCTAGATCCCATTGCTTTCCTTCTTTTTGCTGGGATGAAAGCATCCTTGACTACTCCAAAATTATTAAACAGAGTGAACAGGCTCCTAGGAGTCATTGAGTCTGGAAGCTCATCCACAAAGATGGTGTACAACCCCTTCTCCACTGATCTGTTACCTTGGTTACCCATCTGTCTTTTTAAACTGATTGCCTATAGTCACATAGCCACTGGATTTTCCTCTTAGGAATCAAGGTATAAAGAAGCTATTCACTGCCTTTTGGCCAACTTACCATAGGTGGAACTCATTCATCCAGTAATCTCCCTTTCAATGTGCCCCAGCATTTTGGATCACACTTTAATTAAGAGCCATCCGGCCCGTGTTATTACACATCAAGCGATGATTGCCTCCAGATTTTCAGCCTCTACAAAACTGCCTCAATATCAGTTGAACTTGTTGAATAATTGAGGCAAAAACACCCTGACGCTTTGTCTACACCTCCTCCTTCAGTGACAGCTGAGTATATTGTCTAACCACAGCTGGTTTATCATCCCGGCTGATAATGCAGTCTCATGATTAACTGATTCAATAGTTTTTTCCTTGCCTTTATGCCTTATATGAAAACATTGGTATTTTTTATCCCCATTTTGAGCCACACCATTCTAGATTTTGATGCCAAACCATCTCTTTTTCTTGCTGCAATCCCAGGCTAAACTTCTAACTTCTGGCCCTTCTTTAATTTCAGAATCATGGAGATCCTTTTCTTCAGCTTTAATCCATCATGAATCTTACGTCCTCTGCTGTTTCAGGTTCATCAGGTTACCACACCTCGTAGTTCCATCCTTCTATAGTACTACTCGCAATTTCCTAGCTTTTTCAATAGCTTTATTACGCCACCCTCTTACCTGTGTTTCTTCCCCACAATCTTACTTTTTTGAATTGGATGCAAACACCATGCATTTAGTGATCTAACAGGTTTTGGACCCCAATCCCGCCCTCGTCCTCCATAGGAGTATTGGCAATGGTAGAAATGGTTTCGGAAGGTTCAGGTCACAGAACAGCGGCAGCCAATTCTGACCAAGAAATTCAGACCACCAACCAATTCATACAACATCAGCCAAAACAAGGTACCCATCTACTGATCCTATTTGACAGCAAAACCTGGGGAAGTTGGAGAAGTCACCATTCAGACCATTGTAACACACAGATCACAGTAGCTATTCAGTCATGAAGAATGCTGCCACTACACCAGAATAGTGCAGATAAATCCATAACAATGACAGAAGGAAGCTTATACACCCGCCATTGATGCCTATTGATCCATCCACAAACCAACTAACCATCTTACAGACATGTACACATCCTCAGTCCCTTAATCTATACACAGTTGCAGACCTGCTTCAGGTTATATAACACATCATGCACCGAGTAATTAAACTCTCTCAAGGAAGATACAGTCCACATAGCAACTCTGGTTTTTACCAGATCAGCCAACTCATCCACAGGTGGTTGTGCTTCGTTAAATATGCACTCATTCCTTAGTTTCCACACAGACCACAATACTGCCAAAGGTATCATCTTCCAGATCTCCTTTACCTTTTTCTTCATAACTGGACCTAACCAGCAGTGGAGTACTGCCTCCACTGAACCAGGAATAGCCCAGCTGAAGTTCCACCAACACATAATACTGGCCCATATTCTCCAGATCCTAGGACAGTGAAGGAGGACATGATTTAGAGACTCCACCTCAGTTTTACAAAACACACACAGTGCACTAACACTAGAATTCAAAACTCCAATTCTTTGTAGGAATTCAGAGGACTTAATCCTACCTCTCCAAGCCAACCAGCTCAGAAACTGTACTCTGGGAGGGGCTAAGTTATTCCAAATGCTTTTGGTGACTGAGATATTTGGCCCTTTACATGCTGCCACCCACTTCCATACTGATGACACAGTAAAGACTCCCGAAGGGTGCGCTAACCAATAGCAATAGTCTTCAGCGCCTTCATTTAGTGTAGGAACTCTCCGAACCAAATCATTAAGTTTCAACACTTCCTCCTCTTCCCAAGCAAGAAGAGGCCTCTTAAAATCAATGTTCCAGGCTGTACCCACACCTCTGCTATGGACATGCTCAAACAAGGTGCCATCCTTTTCAACTGCCAAGGAAAATAATCTGGGAAATACCTCCTTCAGACTTTGATTATTAAGCCACCTATCAATCCAGAACCGCACTCGTCTACCATTTCCAACAATTACCTTGAAGTTTAGCAAAAAGAAATCTCGCAAGTCAGGATTTTCTGCAGCCACTGAAAGTACACCCTTCCACAAATTTGACATAGACCGAGACTCACCTAAAAATAGGCTCCATCTGCCACCCACACTTCCATACTTGCTGCACACCACTTGTTTCCATAAAGCTGAATCCTCTTTGCCATATCTCCACCACCATTTAATTAAGAGGCACTCATTAACTTGACTTAGGTTTCTCACACCTAGCCCACCTTGATCTTTGCTTAGACAAATCTCCTTCCAGCTAACTAGGTGCACTTTTTTCTGGATTTCAGAGCCTCCCCAAAGAAAATTGGCTTGAATTTTGTCTAGTGATTTTGCAATCCCCACTGGTAACTTGAATAGGGATAGGAAATAGACTGGCAAGCTTGACAAAACAGACTTTATCAGTGTTAATCTTCCTGCAAAAGACAAATACCTTCTCTTCCAAGAAGCTAGCTTACTCTTAAACTTGTCCACTACTGGTTTCCATGAGCTCTTACTTCTAGGATTTGCTCCTAATGGAAGACCCAGATAGTTTAATGGCAGCTTTTGGCTGAGGCAGTTAAGTTTCTTTGCAAAGACCTTTACTAAGTCATCCTGAACACCCACCCCACACACTTTGCTTTTATGGAAATTTATTTTGAGTCCTGACATCACCTCAAAGCATCTTAAGATCCTTTTCACCGCAACGATTTCTTCCCAATCAGCTTCACAAAAGATAATAGTATCATCAGCAAATTGCAAATGTGATAGTTTTAACTCATTTGGTCCTACTGAGACTCCTCTGATCAAACGCTCTTCTTTGGCTCTTTCCATAAGTATATTAAGGCCCTCAGCTACAATGTTAAAAAGGAAAGGTGAAAGTGGGTCACCTTGCCTAAGGCCTTTCATAGGGGAGAACTCTGAAGTAGGTGAACCATTAACTAGTACTGAAATTCTAGCTGTAGATATACACGTCTTTATCCAGCCCACCCATTTCTCACCAAAACCAAAATTGGCCATCATTGAATACAAAAACTCCCAATTTACTGAGTCATATGCCTTTTCAAAGTCCAATTTTAGTATGATTCCTTTCTTTTTTGACCTTTTCCACCAATCCACCACCTCATTGGCAATTAGGACTCCATCTAGAATATATCTTCCACTCAGAAATGCCGTTTGTACTTCACTAATGATCTTGGGTAGGACCTGCCTCAACCTTTTTGATAAGACTTTGGCAATTATTTTATACATGGAGCTAACCAAACTGATTGGCCTATAGTCACATAGACCCACTGGATTTTCCTTCTTAGGAATCAAGGTAATAAATGAACTATTCACTCCTTTGGCCAACTTACCATAGGAGTGGAAAAATCTGCCTCCAATAATTCAGTTGAATCTATTTGACTAATTGAGGCAAAAACACCTGACAGCTTTGGTCTACACCTCCATCCTTCAATGAACAGCTGGGTATAATGGCTAACCACAGCCTGTTTAATCATCCCAGGCTGATCATGCAGTACTCCATGCTCATTAACTGAGTTCAATAAGTTTTTCCTTTGCCTTTTACTTGCCATTATATGAAACAATCTGGTATTTTTATCCCCATTTTGAGCCCACACCATTCTAGATTTTTGATGCCACAACCATTCCTTTTTCTTGCTCAAATCCCAGGCTAAACTTCTAACTTCTGCCCTTCTTTTAATTTCAGAATCATGGAGAATCCTTTCTTCAGCTTTTAAATCCCATTCATGAATTTCATCCTCTGCTTGTTTCAGCTGTTCATCAAGGTTACCAAACACCTCGTAGTTCCATCTTCTTAGGTATACTCGCAGATTTCCTAGCTTTTTCAATAGCTTATAACTGGCCCACCCACTTACCTGTGTTTCTTCCCAACAATTCTTTACTGCTTCTTTGAATTTAGGATGCAAACACCATGCATTTATGAATCTAAAAGGTTTTGGACCCCAATCCCGCTCGTCCTCCATGAGGAGTATTGGACAATGGTCAGAAATGGTTCGAGGTAGTCCCCACTGTTTCAACTTTAATTTTTCCAACCACGTAGGATCTAGAAGGAATCTATCAATCCTACTCCATCTATCTCCATCCATCGCATTACACCAAGTGAAATTTCTGCCTAGCATTGGTATATCAATCAGTTCCAACTTTTCAATCAATTCATTGAAGTCCTTCATCCCTCTTTCCCTTCTAGAGCATCCTTTTCTTTCACTCATGAATCTTATTTCGTTAAAATCTCCACCTATACACCAGGGACTTGAGAAAGCTGATTTAAGCTGGGCTAAAGCATACCATAACTGTCTTCTTTTCAACACATCATTGGGTGCATAAATATTAATAATCACACAACTAAAATTATGAAGACCCATACCTGATAAAAGTAAGAAATTTCTGTTACTGCAACACTCCTTTAGTTCAAAAATTTATGGATTCCACAAGCATAGCAATCCACCAGCACTCCCTTCAGCCCTCACCTCCATGCTCTCTAGCTCCTCCCATGGCCATAATGACTTAAGGAACTTGTCGTCTACTTTACTCCTCTTTGTCTCCTGCAGCAGCAAGACATCAATCTTCCTCTCCCTAACTAAGTTTTTAATTTTTCTTCTCTTTTCAGGTCGTCGCAGACCCCTAACATTCCAGGATAGAATAATCATAAAAACTGTTCACAGATCCCAAATCCCCTCACCTCTTCCTGACCTGGCCTAGGGAATAATTCCCTCCCCATCGATTTTCTCCAGGTCCTTCTCTTCAAGTTCAATTAATTTGCTAATCACCTCCTGCTCTTTACCTTCACAATTCAAGCCTAGTATTTTGCCGACTTCCATAGTAGCTTGGGCTTCACTTAGGAACTTATGCCTTCTCCTTGAGTTAAGACTCTGCTCAACTGACAATGATATTGCAGCTGCTGCTGCTCTAAAAATAGCTCCTTTGCGAAGACAGGTGTTGGTCAGTGCTCCCTTATTCTTGGTCTGCTTCGTCAGGTCAGCTCATTTCTTCTTTCTACTGCTCATTTCTGGTTTTGTACTCTGCCCCTTCCTTGATGTTGTTCCTATTTCTATCACTTTTCCTGCGGCTGGAAGCAGATCATGAGGCCTAAAATGAGTTTGGGCTATACAATCACTTAGATTTGAGGGTTCTGTTATGGGCCCATCTGCCAATACCCCAGCCTGAGGAACTTTCAAAATTACCTCTAAGTTTACCTTGGGCCTTGGACTCTCAGGTCCACTAGAGCTTGGGATTTTCTCAGGGTTGCATATAGGCCCATCAACAATTTGAATTTCATTTCTTGGAATTACCACATGCACCTGGTTAGCCTCCCTACCTACCTCGCTGACATTCAGAGTCCCCATGGCACCCCCAGTTTCTTTTACGGCTGATGCAGAGAGCCACTCATTACTCTTCTCTTTTGCCCCTGAAACTCTCCCCACCATGTCCTCTCCACCATTTTTTGACAGCTGATCTACTTCCTCTTGACCCATAGATTCAGTGCCCACATTGTCGAAGCAAAAGCTGTTGCAATGGCATGGTTGTACTGCTGCTGGGAGTTCTTCACACACTCTAACTGGGAAAATATTTCCATTACATTCAACATTGATCACCTCATTTATGAACTCCAGTCGATTGGTGATTATTCTTACCTTCCCACTCTGAAACGAACTCTGACTGAGAATATCTTCACCTATCTGAACAACCTCACCCCACACCTTGCCTATGTCACTGAATGTAGTAACATTCCACAAGTTGAATGGAACACCTACACATGTTATCCACACACATCTTTCTTGTGCAATGTAACTTCCTTTCTCCCAATCTGTAACAAGATCGCACCAGTGAACCAACCACTCTTCAATCTTTTGCCTTTCTTCCTTTTTATGTTGTTGTGAACTGAATGTTATCACAGCTAGCCTTCCTCCCCCAGCTCTAACTGTTACATCCTTTACACCTCTTCTATCAACCTCCTCCTTAAACTCATTAAATGATAGAATAGATTTAAGTTTGACTATTATACTGTCATAAAGCCACCCATTTCCAGTTTCATATGCTTTGACAGTACGTTTTGCCTTTCCAGCACTACCTCCATTCTGTACTACTTCTGCAAAGGATCTTCTGCCTACACTTTCCAGCCCTTTTTGCACGAGACCCCTCTGTTGACGCTGCATCATCCGTTCGTTTCCTCTGGTTACCATTGCAGGTCGCTTGATCTCACCTTTTTTGAACTCTGCCTCTTTCACTTTCAATGCCTTGTTGTCACACCACAGGCCATCCGTCTTCAGCACCGCCATTTCAGCTGCAACACTGCAATCATATCTGACAAAACCAAACCTAGATCCCGTTGCTTTCCTTCTTTTTGCTGGGATGAAAGCATCCTTGACTACTCCAAAATTATTAAACAGAGTGAACAGGCTCCTAGGAGTCATTGAGTCTGGAAGCTCATCCACAAAGATGGTGTACAACCCCTTCTCCACTGATCTGTTACCTTGGTTACCCATCTGTCTTTTTCTGAACACTGGGTTCCAGCCTCCGTCCTCCACTTGGTTACCCATGCCCTAATTTTTATGGGGCTTGAACTTGCAGTCTCAACTAGTAGTAAACAAATAGACAATTTTTTTTTTTGATCGGCAAAGAAAAAATTTCATTAAAAACATGAAATTTATGTATCAGTATTATAGGTGTGGGGCTCAAGATTTTGTTTTGTTGTTTTATTTGTCTTTTAAAATATATAAAATTGTGAGGCTTAGGGGTTGGTTGTAAAGACGTGAGTAGCAGTAGTAGGAGAGTGTTTTACTCTTCGAATCTCTCTCAATGCCTTCTTTTGTAAAGAAAGCTCTCACCTGGTAGAAGCCAATTGAGTTAAATCCAAGGCTTAAGTTGAGAAATCCAATGGAAACCCCATTAAGAATGCCGAAAAGCATGACTGTATTCATGTCGACTGGCTTGCTCTCAAAAAAGTTGAGGTGTTGTGCCACGTGGAGGGAGCAGTATGTTACCATCAGATGCCAACTAGTTAGTGTCGTAGCTGAAAATTCCAAAAAAAAAAAATAATAATAAATTTGTCACCAAAAAAATTTGTCCCCAAAAAAAAAAAAAAAATTGACTTGTCAAAAAATGTCTACATTTTTTGCATAGTGATGATGATAATGATAGTTTAACTACTAATTAACCACATACTATTATTATAAAAGAATTAATAGAGGCCCATGGTTTGTTCCAAGAAGAAAAATGGGTAATTACACTCTAGTGAAATTTAAAAAAAATAATTATATATTCATGAAAAAGTTTATAATTTTAATTATTAATATTTATAAATTTTTCATTGATTTATAATAATTTTTTTATAACTTCACTGATTTGATATTTTCCCAATAAAAAAAAAGAAAAAAAAAAAGGAGATGAAGAAGACAATAAAGTTACCAAAAGGGAAGCCAAGAAAGCTCATCAAGGCTTTGTTGCAGATGACAATGGAGACTGATGATGCCACTGATAGAAACAATGCACCCATAACACCCAACTGCAACCCTGACATCTCTCCCATCTTCCATGAAATTTAAAAAATAAAAAAATAAAATAAAAGAAAATAAAAGAAGAAGTAGAGATATAACATATGGAATGGTATTATATTACAAACAGAAAAAATATATATATATAGAGATAACATTAATGTATTTTGACTCATCATTTAAAAAAAAAAAAAATTTTTAAATGATATTTATAAAGATTTCAAGCATTTTTCTTATCATTCTGGTGGAGAATAATTATTTATAAAAAGTTCTAATTCATTATATGTGCACAACATTAATTTATTATAAAATATCACTATCGTTTAATGTCAAGTTAGGTTCAGTTCTAATATAATTAATGGCATTTTTGTATAAAAATATTTCAATATATATAGCTATAACTGGTCATTTGCCTTCAAGAATGTAAGAGTACAGGAGTTCTTGTACCTCATTTTGTGATATTTTCATTTCAAAATGTCATTGATATATATATATATATATATATATATTTATTTATTTATTTATCTTTCTAGTTGAAATTTTTTGCGATATTTTAGTTTTTGCTTTAGAAGAATGAAAAAAATATTTCAATATATATGGCTATAACTGGCCATTTGCCTTCAAGAATGTAAGAGTACATGAGTGTTTTCGTTTGGGAAGTGGGTTGGTTTTTTAATGTTTTGATTTTTTTAGTTATTTTAGATTAGGGATAAAAAGTCTTATTTGGGAAGGACTTTTGACTTTTTTGACTTTTTTATGAGAGAAATAATGTAATAATTATGAATTAGATGTGATATTTTATCTTTATTAAGCTAAAAAATTTATTTTATTTTTTTGATTATTTTAACCAAAAAAACCCAACTTTTCTCTTCCCAAACGGAGGCTTAGGAGCCTAGAAAGTCCAAAAAACAAACCCCGTAATTATCACATATTAATAATACATATAAATATATATGGACAGAGACCTTGAAATTAAAAAGTTAGTTAAAAGTAAACTCTTTAATTTATTTTAAAAAATCGTATAAAAAAATAGAGAACCGATGTAACTCGAAAAGCTCCTCAGCCGTCTGCCACCACTACAACTCTCTTCAACACCACCAGCCACCCACCCCAATATAGTTAAAAGTTAACTTTTTAACTTTTTTCACTATTTCATGTGAAAAATGATATGACTCAAAATGAATTAAAAACTTACTTTTAACTTTTTTAGTGTGTTGCCAAAACACCCCAAAGTTAACGTTAATGCAGAAAACCACATAAGGGCTTCGTTTGAAAAATGAGTTGACTTTTTGACTTTTTTAACCTGGGGTTAAAAAACCTAATTTGGAAAGGACTTTTGACTTTTTTGACTTTTTTGTGAGATAAATAATGTAATAATTATGAATTAGATGTGATATTTTGTCTTTATTAAGTTAAAAAATTTATTTTATTTATTTTGATTATTTTAACCAAAAAAACCCAACTTTTCTCTTCCCAAACGGAGGCTTAGGAGCCTAGAAAGTCCAAAAAACAAACCCCATAATTATCACATATTAATACATATAAATATATATGGACAGAGACATTGAAATTAAAAAGGTAGTTAAAAGTAAACTCTTTAATTTATTTTAAAAAATCGTATAAAAAAATAGAGAACCGATGTAACACGAAAAGTTAAAAAATTAAAAAAAAAAACTTTTAACCTCTTTGTGAGAGGAGATGGTAGTTAAGAGGGAAATTTATGGGCTGGATTGGGCCGTGGTAGTAACCGGGCAAATTATGGGTCGAACATGTTTTGGGCCGCGGTAGCTTGGGCTTAGCCGGAGAAGGTTGTGCCCGGTAATGGCTCAGGACCATGCTAGGACCAAGCTACTTGGGCTTGTTTGAGTGGAAACCAAGCTAATTGGGGTAATTTGGCCGAGATGATGGAAGCCGGTCCTGTTCCCATGGTTCGCGCTTCTAGCCCGGTTGAAAAGGTCTTCGGTTTACTGACTCAACCAGCCTTGAGCTCGGCTATGCCGGAATGCAGCCGAGCTCGGTCATCATTGAGCTCGGATAACGGAGCGCTTTGGCTTGTGTAGCGCGGCCGTTGACAGCCGAGATGCTGCATCCCGACTGCCGAGCTCCCAGTATTGTGGGCTGGCAGTTTGGTTAGGTAATGTTCAGTTAGATTTATG